GTGATACAATGAGGGACAGAGGTCCCAAATAGCAGCTTGGAGATGTTCCAGCTGGACACAAAAGGAAAAAGGATTCACTGGGAAGGCAGTGCAGTGTGGGGATGTGCTTCGCTGGGGGGCTGTGGAATATCCGTCCTCAGAGCTTTCCAAGGCTTGATAGACACATGATGACAGTCCCACTTCATCATACTTCATAAGGTCCCTTTGACAACCTTTTTGTTGTTCTGTGCATCTCAAAATAATTCCTTACAAGCTCCAAAAATTCAGCAGTTGAGGCAATCCCAGGCACAAACCCAGGCTGGGCCAGGAGGGGATGAGAGCAGCCCCTGGGAGAAGGACTTGGGGGGGTCGGGGGGGTGGAAAACTGCCCCTGAGGCAGCACCGTGTGCGGGGCTGCACCCAGAGCAGGGTGGGCACAGGGCCAGGGGGGGATTCTCCCCCTCTGCTCCGCTCTGGGAGACCCCCCTGCAGGGCTGGTCCAGCTCTGGGGCACCAACATAAGGACGAGGGGTGATGGGTTTAACCAGACAGAGGGCAGGTTTAGGTGAGGTCTAAGGCAGAAATTCTCCCCTGGGAGGGGGTGAGGCCCTGGCACAGGCTGCCCAGAGCATCTGTGGCTGCCCCCTCCCTGGGAGGGTTCAAGGCCGGGTTGGATGGGGCTTTGGGCAGCCTGGGCTGGTGGAAGGTGGCCCTGCCCAGGGCAGGGGGGTTGGAACTAGATGGTCTTTAAGGTCTCTTCCAACCCAAACCAGCCTGTGATTCTATGAAATTAGCAACTGTCACTAGCAAGAGATCACTGATCTCTTTACACCGTGTTGTGAATCCAGAGCGCTGAAGGCCAGAGACTGGGCCCAGTTTTAAGCACTCAGTTACTGCCATCTCAACTTGATTTCTTAAATTCTTCCTTTTTATTTGGAGCATACTATCTATTTTCTTTGCAGCTTGTTTCCTCTCATGTAGTTTGCAAGCATGTTCAGAGCTCTGACTTTGTACTGCTCTTCCTCAAATGTTAATCTTCTCTTTATAGACATCCCCAGCCATTTGGATGATCTTCCTCCCACAATGCTGAAGAAAGAGTATACCAGTGTCCCAGTAGTAAATAGGTATGATACAAGGAAAGGGAAGGACTGTTCTCTTCAGAGATTTGTCTTAAGCACACAGCCACAGTGCATGGAAGCTCTCACCTGCACAGTAATTAATTCATGCTCTGTGGTCACTGGTGTGCAATTTAGCACAAAAATAGCAAAGTTGTTTTGAAAGTCAATTTTGCAAAAGCAGTCACTGATGAGGCTTTGGTAAGGTTTTTGTTTGTTTAATGTAAGGTTAAGTGGTGATTGCCCACATCTTCTGTGGACTTCATAGTCCAGAGAAAAAAGAAATAATTCTGAAATATTAGAAATCATCTATGCCAGTCTTGAACTCAGGTGCTAGAGAGTGTGTAGGTAAACAACTCAAAATGAATTGCTGCTTCTGAAATTTGGACCTGGAGCTTAGTGGTTTTGTGCTTTGATGCCAGAACCGCTCATGTGTGGTGCGTGGAGAGCCCCCAGTGGTGTAACCGAGACTTTCACAGCTCTTTGAAGGATCAGGTCTTAAAATTAATTATTTTGCCCTCGTGTACTTCCTTGGGGGTTAATCTTTGGCACCCAGTTTGCACGTAACGTTTTTGGAATTGATAGGACTTCATCATCATCATCATCATTTGAAATAGCTGCACTTCCCACAGCAGCAAAACCACTCGATGCTTCTATAATCTCAGCCATGATTTTTCTTAGGAATGCAAGAAACAGTTTATGGCTGAGAGATTTGAGAGGGGAGGAGAGTTGCTGTCAATCTGTAGAGTAGATTAAAGTTGAGAAAAGTTAATATGTTCTGAAAACCTAACCTCATTTCTGTTGTTAAATATACTTAATTCCTGTTTTATAAACTAACCTGCAATCTCCTTGCAGTGTTGACGATGTAGTGAAAAGACTCTTGTCGCTGGAAATGGCAAGCCAGGTTAGTTGCATTCTATTTGCATTAAAAAAAAAACCAACAAACCACAGAAGATTTAGTGAGCACATTTGTGCAAGACTTGTCTATATTGTTAAATGCCCTTCACTTACTGTAAGTGTTGCTTGGTGACTGCAAATCTGGGGCTATTAAATACATGAGTGGTAAGTCTTGCATGCTCTTAAAATTTATCATGCAGTCTTCTTTATGATAATAATTGCATACTAAAACGAGAGAAGAAAATATTAGGCAATCACAGGGGAGATGAGCTGTGTTATGTTACTGCTGATCGTTGGCCTGTTCTATAAAATAGTTCACTAGACAGCAGATGTTCTTCCACAAAGTTCTTTTACTTTTCGTATGCCCAGAAGGCAAAATAACTAAATCATAAGGTGGCACAAAGATCTTACCGTTTCTTGCTGCTTACCACTTAAGCTTGAAAATATGCAAAAAGCAAAGGCTACTGCCGTGTGAGATCAGCTTCAGTTCTGTTTTCCATCCAGGAGAGCAGCGGGGCCTCTTCAGCACCTTCTCAGTAATCCTGGGGTGAGGGGGGTGCCCGGACTCTTGGGTTGAACAACGGCGAGTCGGTGCTCCCCTGAGATCTTTTGTGCTGCCTCGCTGCTGTGCTCTGAGCACTGCCCTGCCAGCAGCAGGTCCTTCTTTGCTGCACCTTTTACACCTTTTGTGATGGACGCTGAGTAAAGCTAGTAATTACAGAGCCTTTGTCTGGGCATCTGGGAGGAGAGCTGGGGTGTCTCAGACCTTTAGTGTTCCTGAGAAGGTGACAAACTCTTTTCTGTTGTCCACAGAAGGAGAAGATGAAAATAAAGACACAGCAGCTGGTGGAGAAGGTCAGGAGGTCTCCCAACGACAATGGGTCCTCCGAGGTGCAAGGTAAGTTAAAAAAGGAGGTGGTTGTTGGCAGATGATACATCTCTGCTTTCATTCAGCTGTTCCCACCCCAGCACTTCAGGTTTGCTGTGTCAGTCAGGAGAGTCTCCTCCAGGAGCAGCAGGTCGCTGCAGCGTGCCCTGGGGCTGTCCAGGGTTTGGGAAGGTCGCAGGTGTCTGCTGGGTGGTCCCAAATTCCTTCTCCATACCCACCCTCCAGAGGCAGCACGTGTGTTACTCTGCGTGAAGTGCTTTGACGTGAAGCACAGCGCTGTGTTCGTTACCCAAAGGAGCTACGAGATTGGAACCCAAATCTCCCTCTGCATCAGAGAGCTCTGGCTGAGGCCCGGTGTAGGGACAGCACAGGGGTGGGGACCGTGCTGCCACTGACCCAGCTGCACTCCTTTATCATTAATAAAAGCCTTCAGTTCCTCAGGATGCCACCAGCACCTTTCTGCAGAGCCTGAAATGACAAATTGCTGGCTGCTGCTCCTAGAAAGAGCCTCTTAATTGGTGTCTGTTCATCCAAAGCTTAAACCAGGTGAAGTGAAATGAATCTAAAGTCACCAGCGGGTGCAAGAGGCATTTTACAGATAAATTCCTATGATCTGTTGTTAAAATTTTAACCTCTAATTAAGCAGCTTCATAACAGTAATAGTTCTGACTCGGGTTGTGTTTTGTGGTTTGTTTTGCACTTGCCCAGAGGGCTGTGCGGGAGCGCTGGCCCTGCCGCAGTGGGTGCCCGTAAGAACAGCAGCCTGCAGCTGGCACTTGGAAGGGAACGCAGATGATACTGTCTCTACCTGGAAAGCTGCTGCTCTCAAACGGCTTCTTGTATCTGTTCTTTATAGTTGCTGTGTTGACTGCCAAGATACGCACTTACGAGGAACATCTTCAGAAGCATCCCAAGGTAACCATCAGTAATCTGAGCCCACATGTCTGAGACAGCAGCTGTTCGGGTTGTTTTCTCAGTTTAGAACAAAAGGATTTTAATTCTGGGGATTATGGCTTTCCTGAGAAGGTTCATAAAATAGTTATAACTGTTCCGTGGTGCCAGCCTGGGAAACTGCTGGCTCAGAGCTATGCTCTCACCAACTGAAATGTGGAGTCTGTTCTGGTTTGTTCCTGGATTGGTGGGAATGCCTGAGCAGGTACTTTTGAGCAGAGTTTAGCTAAATTTATCCTTGCTGCAGATGTGGCTTCACACTTAGTTTTCAATGTAATGAATGTTATCCCTTTGGCAGCTGTGTTCTCTCTTTGTTCCGCCTATGAAAATGTTTAGCGGCCAGGACTGTCTTTAACACCGTAATGACACTTTCCTACCTAAAGCTACAGGGGTTCAGGGCCCAAATTCAAAACATCACAACTGTGAGTTTATGAACAAGATTATTCATGCAGTGCAAAAGGTGGGAAACGGACTAGTCAACTGCATTGGAAAAAAGTGCATAATTATTTGTTAATCCTAACAGCTTGAAGAATAGAATTCAGTTTTTCTAAGAAGCCAAGTTGTACCAAATGTTTCAGCAAAAGAAACCTTTTGAAATTACTTGACACAAATCGCTGTGTAGGGTCGGGCAGTTCCTTCCACGGGGGATTGCTCTGAATGGCACGGCTCAAGCTATGTGTATTTTCTTCCAAAGAACAACACAAATGGCCAGATAGAGCCAAGTCACATTTTACTTTCACATTTAATTTCTGGAAAAACAAAGGTAAATGCTTCTGTGTTATTCCTGGAAGAACACATTTCAGGGGAAGCAGAGTTTTTAGGCAGTTAGACCTTCCCTACAGCCTTTACCTCCAAGCTATTGCAGCTTCTGCCACCACCTGAAACTGCATACGAGTTGAAAACAGTCTTCAGGGTCAGGGAGGAAGGTGCAGACACAGAATGAAGAAAGCAATTTCAGTGAAAAGTAAATTAAGTCTTCTGGGATCTCCTTGTAGTGACCTAATGTGCTTGCAGTACCTGCCAAGAAAAATTGCTCTGAGATACTGTCCTTAACCCGATTGTTTCCTTTCAGCCATAATCTGGTCTATTCTAAGTAATTTATTGGAATGGAAGGGTAATCTGTCTGCAGTGTAGTGAATGTTAAGTCCTCTGCAGGATAAAAGTAACCGTCGTCGCATGCTGATGGCCATGGATCGCCGGAAGAAACTCCTCACGTATCTGCGCCGTGTCCGCTATGATATCTTTGAGCACACCTGCAAGCAGCTGAACATCCAGTACACCCTGCCCCCGCCCTACAACAGGAGGAGAACCAAGCGCTGGCTCGTCAAGAAGGCTTTCTGCATCAAGGTAGGGAGCCATCTGGAGAGAGCCACGTAGCTGGAGTAGGAAAAAAAATCTCTCTATAGAAGGGCACAATTAAGACAGTTAGGAAAGAGTGACGGGTAAATCCTTTTAATCCGTGCTTTGAGGAGCGGTAATGTCTGTAGAGAATTGCGTAAGCTCAGCAAAGAGCTCCACAAAAGATGGTTTCGTAGTGGGCGGTGTCGCACTGGCTGGGCTTGAACTTCAGATTGTACCACCAGTTTGCTCAGAAATGTATGATTTGAACCAGCTGTTTTTCAAAGCCTGGTATAGGAACTAATGTGTGAGACAAATCTGATGGCAGCTTTGGAACAGAAATTGGGTACGCCCCCTGCGTACTCTCACTTGCTCTGAATACGTAGGTGTAACTCCTGCATGCAGCGTGCATCAGTGTGCCTGAGCAGAATCAAGAAGCTGGACATGCCTTCCATCTGTACATACTAAATTTCAGGCCAGTGAAGTTACACCCAAAAGACTGGCTTGGCTCTAACGGGATACCCCCGAGGGGTTCCCTGCAAACAGGGCTGGTGGGAGCCCTGGGAGGTGCCTTGTGGCACAGTGTGGCGCTGCGGTGGTGCAGCAGCTTTGCTCAGCAGCACACAGCTTTGTCTCTGAGCTGAGAGCTTAAACTGAATCAGCCATGCTTGGTGGAATATCTCAGCAGGAGAATCAGATCCATACTAGTTTATCCACACATGTATTTTATCTTCCAAAAAATTGGGTGTTTTAACTGAGACATGGTTTCATCCACATTGAGGTGTTTGTTAATGCTTAAAACTGTTCCCTCACCTCCTCCCGCTCCTCACGCAGGTTTTTCAGGAGGTGCAGAAGCTGAAGGCGCTGCAGAGGCTCAAGGAGAGGAGAGACCAACAAGCAAGAGCTGCGAAGGAGGCGGTGGCGGCGCAGCACGAGGGGCCGCCCGTGTAACGGCTTGTTCTCTTTAACAATAAATAACTACCTACAGACCTAAAGCCTCTTTGCCAGCACGCGTGTGTGCTCCGCGCCGTGGCGAGCGCCAGGGAAAGCACAGTGAGTGGTTTAAGCGTTTTGGAAGTTTAATTCCAAGCTGACACGCTGGGCTGTGCTGGGGCAGTTCGGTCTGTGCGGGAGGAGCAGCCGGGGGGGTCTCGGCACCAGCTCGTGGGACTCTTCTGCGTGGGGTCTGTCGCCTGTCGTTGTCCAGCCGTGAGGATTGAGCTGTCAGACAGCGCTGACCCCGTGCTTGGGGGGCATTTGGGCAGCGGGGTGACAAATGAGGAGCGAGGTGGAGGTGAAATGCTGCGTATTTGGGACCACAGCGGCCTTGGCCCTAGCTCGAGGTGCTGATCCTTCTCGCAGGAGAACGCGGGTGGATTCGGGGCGCTGCGGCTGTGGAAGTGCTGTTAATAATCAGATCTGTAACTTCCCGGCGGACCGACGCGTTTATATTCGTTCTCTGGCATCATCCCTCCCTCGCTCACGAACTCGGTGATTTTGTCACCCCGGTGCTGACCTGGAGAAGCGCCCGGTGCCGTCACAGCGGCGCCTCTTCCCCGATTTTTTTTTTTTTTTT